AACTTAAATATTTAGCTAGCTACCTAAATTTTTAGGTTGCAACTTAAATATTTAGGTAGCCAGCTAAATATTTAAGTTTCAAACTAAATATTTAGCTCAAAACTAAATATTTAAGTCACAAGTTAAATATTTAGCTTGTTAACTAAATATTTAATTTGTAAGTTAAATATTAAGTTTATAAACTATGACATTTATAAATGTATGAATCATATGGTGAAAAACTGACTTTGAAAAATAAACCTGTTTTTTTTTTCTTATAAAAGGTTAAATAAAACATAAATATTGGTGGTAATTTTTGTAACTTTACTAACAACACCTCTTATTTTCCTCCTGGAGGAAGTTAAGCTGTCAATCAAACCCAGTCTGGCCCCGCCCACTTGATTAGTTTTCATGTTTTTACTGAATAAATTTACAAAAGAAGAAAGTGTCTGTTTGATGAGAGGGGCAAGTGAGGGCCCGTGGGCCCCGCCCGGTCCCCCTCGTCATCATGGATCAAAGAGTTCTCAGAGTCCTTCAGCAGGTCCGCTCCGCCGTCCTCCTCTTCTTCCCGGAGTGTCGGGTCTTCCTCTGGGCCTGCCGGGGCCGGGCCACGCACACCCCCTGCCTCTTCTTCCTGCCCGGTTCCGCTGGGCCCGTGGGGGCGCAGGACAGGCCCGTGTCGCAGTCGCAGCGGTCCAGGTTCCTCCGGGACCTCTTCAGGGCCCTCCTCAGCAGGCAGGCCTCGCCCTCCACCGGGATCCGCTGGCACCGCTTCCCGGTCAGGTACCGGGCACAGCAGAGCCCGGCGGCGCAGTCACCGGACCGGACACAGCTGGACATCTCTGGAGCTGAAACACACACACACCTGTCAGAGGGGGCGGGGCCTCCTGCTGCAAGGCATGCTGGGAGTTCTGTCTCACCTTTAGTCCTGTTGAGTCCGTCAGAGTCTAGGTTCTGGTTCTGGTCCAGGTATCTGTCAGTGTTGGATGGAGTCTTCTGGGCTCTGTTGCTGCAGCCCCCCCTCTGAAGGACACACACACACACACACACACACACACACACACACACAAAACATTAAAAACAGTCTTAGATGAAAGAGTCACCTGATTATTTTAGATTTAAACTAAAGTAAACATTAAATTGTGGGCGGAGTCTTGTCGCTGTAGCAGCTGCTACTGCAGGAAGTCTGTTATAAACTTGTTCAGGACGCATTTTAAACGTTCTGTTATTAATGCTGCTGCTGAAACATATTTAATATTATTATATATGATATTTTTATTATATTATAATG